TCTCGATATTTTATGGTTTTAGCATCCTTTTCTGTCAACATGTTCTGTTCCCTCAGACAATTTATTACCTCCGTGGTTTCCTAATGCTAAGTTTTCCTGTAGTGCTTTACATTTTTGTGTTTTAACTTCTTGTTTCTCGAAGACTGCTTCCATTTGAGTGGCTTCAGGAGGGCAGCGGAGGCCACTTCCGGTTCGGGTCCTCCCACTTCCGGCTCCATCCCGCCCACTTCTGGCTCCGGTCGCCATGCTTTCTGCTGGTTGGCACCACTTCCGGTTGGAAAAAGAGCAGGTTTTTTGCCCCCTGGGGAAATGTCCGGGTATGGGGGGGCGGCAAGGGCCACTTCCGCTTTGGACCCGCCCACTTCAGGCTCCGGTCCGCCCACTTCAGGTCCTGGGCGCCATGCTTTCTGTCGGTTGGTACCACTTCCGGTTGGAAAAAAAGCAGGTTTCTTGCCCCCTGGGGCCACTTCCGAGTATTGGGGGCGGCAAGGACCACTTCTGGTTAGAGCCTGTCCACTTCCAGCTCCAGCCTGCCAACTTCTGGCTCCGGTCGCCATACTTTCTGCCAGTTGGCACCACTTCCGGTTGGAAAAAGATCAGGTTCTTTGCCCCCTGAAGCCACTTCCGGGTATGGGGGAGTGGTGGGGGACACTTCCGGTTCTAGCCCGCCCACTTCCGGCTCAGGGTGCCATGGTTTCTGCCGGCTGGTACCACTTCTGGTTGGGGAAAAAGCAGGTTTTTCACCCCCTGGGGCCACTTCCGGGTTTGGGGAGGCAACTAGGGCCACTTCCGGTTTGGACCCCCCTCCTTCCGACTCCGGCCCACCCACGTCCGGCTTCGGGCACCATGGTTTCTGCCAGCTGGCACCACTTTTGGTTGGAAAAAACCCACGTTTTTTGCCCCCTGGAACCACTTACGGGTATAAGGAAGCGGCGAAGACAACTTCCGGTTTGAGACCGCCCACTTCCGGCTCCGGCCTGCCCACTTCTGGCTCTGGGCACCATGCTTTCTACCAGCTGGCACGACTTCTGGTTTCAAAAAAAGCAGGTTTTTTGCCCCCTGAAGCCACTTCCGGGTATGGGGGGCGGAGGGGGCTACTTCCAGTTCGAACCCGGCCACTTCCGGCTCCAGGCGCCATGCTTACTGCCAACTGGCACTACTTCCGGTTGGAAAAAACCCAGGTTTTTTGCCCCCGGGGGCAATTTCTGGGTATGGGGGGGTGGCAAGGGTCACTGCCAGTTCGGGCCCACCCACTTCCGGCTCCGGCTCGCCCACTTCCGGCTTCGACTCGCCCACTTCCGGCTCCGGGCACCATGCTTTCTGCAGGTTGCGACCACTTCCGGTTGGAAAAAAAGCAGGTTTTTTGCCCCTTGGGGCTACTTCTGGGTATGGGGGGCGGCGGGGGCCACTTCCGGTTTGGGCCCGCCCACTTCAGGTTCCGGATCGCCCACTTCTGGCTCAGGGCGCCATGGTTTCTGTTGGCTGGCACCATTTCCGGTTGAAAATAAAGCAGGTTTTTTGCCCCTGGGGGCCACTTCCGGGTATGGGGGGCGGCGGTGGCAACTTCCGGTTTGGGCCTGCCCACTTCCGACTCTGGTCTGCCCACTTCCGGCTTCAGGCGCCATGCTTTCTGCCGAGTGGCACCACTTCCGGTTGGAAAAAACCCAGGTTTTTTGCCCCCTGTGGTCACTTTTGGGAATGGGGGGGCGGCGAGGGCCACTTTCGGTTGGGACTTGCCCACTTCCAATTCCGGTACGCCCACTTCCGGCTCCGGGCACCATGCTTTCTGCCGGCTGGCACCACTTCTGGTTGGAAAAAAAGCAGGTTTTTTGTTCCCTGGGGTCACTACTGGGTTTTGCGGGGCGGCGGGGGCCACTTCCGGGTATGGGGGGACGGCGGGGGCCACTTCCGGTTAACACCCGCCAACTTGCGGCTCCAGCCCGCCCACTTCCGGCTCTACACGTTTAACGTCACGTGTTCTTAGTGTTTTTCAGTCACACGCGTGACGTCGCGTGTTCTTAGAGTGTTGAACCACACACGCGTGATGTCGCGTGTCCTTAGCATGTGTTGAACCGCACACGCGTGACGTCACGTGTTCTTAGCCTGTTGGGTCCATACGCGGGACGTCGCGTCTTCATAGCGTGTTGGGTTCACAAGCGTGACGTCACGTGTTCTTAGCGTGTTGAACCTTATACGCGTGATGTCGCGTGTTCTTTCCGTATTCCACCCAGAGCCGTGACGTCGCGTGTTCCTTAGCGTGTTGGGCTCACACACGCAACGTCGCGTGTTCTTAGCGTGTTCGAGACACACACGTGACGTGGCGTGTTCTTAGCGTTTTGAACCTTATAGGAGTTACGTCGCGTGTTCTTAGAGTGTTTTGGGCACGTGCGTGACATCCCGTGTTCTAAGCGTATTCGACCCAAAACTGTGACATTGCGTGTTCTTAGCATGTTGAACTTTAGACGTGTGACGTTGCGTTTTCTTATCGTGTTAAACCGCACAAGAATGACGCCGCGTGTTCTTACCGTGTTTGAGTTACACGCGTGACGTCTCATGTTCTTAGCGTGTTTGAGTCACACGCGTGACGTCGCGTGTTCTTACAGTGTTTTGGGCACACGGGTGACATCGGGTGTTCTTAGCGTGTTCGACCCAGAGCCGTGACGTCACGTGTTCTTGGTTTGTTGAACCCACACGAGTAAAGTTGCGTGTTCTTAGCGTGTTGAACTTCACACACGTGACATCGTGTGTTTTTAGCGTGTTTTAGTAACACGAGTGACGTCGCGTGTTCTTAGCGTGTTGGACCCACAGATGCAACATTGCGTGTTTTTAGCGTGTTGAACCTTATACGCGCGACATCGCGGGCTCTTAACCTGTTCAAGGCACACACGTGACGTCTCGTGTTCTTAGTGTGTTGAACTTCACACGCGTGATGTCACGTTTTCTTAGCGTGTTTGAGTAACACGAGTGACGTTGGGTGTCCTTAGCGTGTTTTAATCACATATGTGACGTTGTGTGTTATTAGCGTGTTGAACCGCACACATTTGACGTCGCGTGTTCTTAGCGTGTTCAAGGTACACGTGTGATGTCGCATGTTCTTTAGCATCTTTAAACTCACACGCGTGACGTCGCGTGTTCTTAGCGTGTTTAACCGCACACGCGTGACGTCGCGTGTTCTTAGAGTGTTTTGGGCACACGCGTGACGTCAGGTGTTCTTAGCGTGTTCGACCCAGAGCTGTGACGTCGCGTGTTCTTAGTTTGTTAGGCCCACACGCGTGACGTCGCGTGTTCTTAGCATGTTGAACTTCACACGCGTTACGTCATGTGTTCTTAGCGTGTTAAACCGTACAAACGTGATGCCACGTGTTCTTAGCGTGTAACACAAGCATGACGTCGCGTGTTTTTAGCATGTTCGTGGCACACGCGTGACGTCGGATATCCTTATCGTGTTCTACACGCACGTGTGACGTCAAGAGTTCTTAGCGTGTTGGACCCACACGCGTGACGTCGCGTGTTCTTATCGTGTTTGAGAAACATGAGTGTTGTCGCGTGTTCTTGCGTGTTGAACCTTATACGCGCGACATCGCGTGCTCTTAGCCTGTTTAAGGCACAAGCGCGACGTCGTGTGTTCTTAGCGTGTTTGAGGCACACGCATGACGTCGCGTGTTAGCGTTTTCAGGTGCACGCGTGACGTCGCGTGTCCTTTAGCATGTTGGGCTCACACGCGTGACGTCGGGTGTTCTTACAGTGTTTTGGGCAAACGCGTGACGTCGGGTGTTCTTAGCGTGTTTGACCCAGAGCCGTGACGTCACGTGTTCTTGGTTTGTTGAGCCCACAAGAGTAAAGTCGCGTGTTCTTAGCGTGTTGAACTTCACACGAGTGACATCACGTTTTCTTAGCGTGCTTGAATAACACGAGGGACGTCACGTTTTCTTAACGTGCTTGAATAACACGAGGGACATCACGTATTCTTCGCGTGTTGGACCCACACGCACAACGTTGCGTTTTCTTAGCGTGTTCGAGGCACACGCGTGACGTTGCGTGTTCTTAGCGTGTTGAATCGCACACGCGTGACGTCGCGTGTTCTTAGTGTGTTCAAGGCACACGTGTGACTTCGCGTGTTCTTAGCGTTTATTAGGGCACATGTGTGATGTCACGTATTCTTAGCATGTTGGACTCACACACGAGACGTCGCGTGTTCTTAACGTGTTTTAGTCACACGCGTGACGTCACGTGTTCTTAGCGCGTTGGACCCACACGCGTGATGTCGCGTGTTCTTAGCGTGTTGGACCCCACACGCGTGACGTTGCATGTCCTTATGTTCGACACACACTCGTGATGTCGAGTGTTCTTAGTGTGTTTGACCGACATGCGTGATGTCCCGTGTTCTTAGCGTGTTGGACCCCACATGCGTGACATGGCGTTTTCTTAGCGTCTTCAAGTCACACACATGACCTCGCGTGTTCTTAGCGTGTTGGAACCCACACGCGTGATGTCGCGTGTTCTTAGCTTCTTACAGAGTAAACCTGGTAATCCCAGGTCTCTCTTGGAAAAATCTATGACCAGAAGGTTTCCCAGGAGAAAAAAAAACAAGGACAGAGATGAGGGAATGTACTCCCAATGAATAAGGATTTTATGGGTGCAGGAATGATTTGTGTGGGTTTTACACTCCCCTTTTTATTGCCAGAATAACCTTAAAATTATTCCTTGAACAGACCAACCAAACTGGAGAATTTGAATCAGAGAGGAAGCGATGCACAACAAATGCAGGGAGAAATGGTGGAATCGTGATGGAATCCTGCAGTGGTTCGGGTTGCAAGGGACCTTAAAGCTCATGCAGCCCCACTCCCTGAGCAGGGACACCTTCCCCTAGCTCAGGTTGCCCCTGGTCGCAGATGGATATGGAAGTGCTGGAGGTGTTTAGGGAATGTTGATAGTTTTTCCCCCACCTCCGGCCGTCAGGTCGTTAAAAAGACTAATTCACCTCTTCCCACAGGGAAAAATGCTGGAGCAGAGGGAGGGAAGGAGCAGGGAGAACTGCAACCCCCAGCAGCTCGGTCAGTGCCGGATGGACTCGGGACTGGGAAAGGTCACTCAGTGTGAGGGCAGGTGAGAGCCCAGGGTGGCCCTGGCAGCCCTGGGGCTGGGAACAAGTCCAGTGGGCAAAGGAATGGACCCTGGAGAGCTGGGCAAACAGCTGGAGGAGTTTCAAGGAGAAGCAGGAAACTGGACAAGTTGCAGCAGCTCCTTCTGTGTGTGTGTGTGTAACCAGGTCTAGTGCAGCCACGAGTGAGGTGGGAAATGAACCTCAGGAGGCTGGGAATGAGTCCCACAAACTGGTTATACTGGGATTGAGTTTTCCCAAGTGTCTGAAAAGCTTTGCTTTAATTTGGCTTTATAAATTAAAAACTGAAGTGATTGTCAAGGTGTTGGCCCTTGCTGTCCGGTGTCTTTGGTGAGGTGTTGACTCAGTACATTTATTGGAGCTGCTGCTGGATGAACAGGTGCTCCTAATTTGCCTTTAAGGTCCTGGTTTCTTCCCTTCTTCTCCCAGCTTGTCCAGGAGATGGAATTCCAGTGCTACAGTATAGATGGCTTGTGGTGCTCCCAAAAGGAGCCTTTCTGCCTTCAGGACAAGTTCTGGTGCCACCGGAGCTGTTGGGAGAAGCGGAGGGTTGGCAGTGACAGGCCTGGAATGCTGTTGCTGTGGCACAGAGGCTGCTCCCTGGCAGGTTCTTGGGTTGGATTCCTTGGCTGCCACTTGGCAAGGCCTGGAAGGGCCTCAGTTGTGTAGGGAACAAAACATGGAATGGGAAAGCAAAGCAGGGGAGGTTCTGGTTTCAGAGAGAATCATTGAATTTTCTCTTTCTGCAGGGACACTGAGCTGGTCCAAGTGTGGCAAGAAGAACAAGTGGGCCGTGAAGGTTTGGAGCAGTCTAGAAGGTTCCTCATGCCTAAAGGATCCGGGCAAGTGAAGTCCTGGAAGAGTATGGAATATTGAAAAGTGCCTCAGTTCTCCTGAAGCTCAACTTTGTAAAATATTCATGAAGATAAAATCCTACTGTAGCTGAGCTGTTGGGTCCTAAATACTCTTGGAGGGAGAGGCAGAAACTCCCACTGCTGCTGGGGCTGAACTGCTTGCAGTGACCAGGTGTGACTTGGCCCTGATGTCTGAGTGCTCTCCAGTCCCCCAGGATGGATCCCAACTGTCAGCCCCCGGCTCCATAACTTGAGGAGAGGGTGTTCCTGCAAGCCTAGCTGCTGTGGTGGTAGTCCTGTGTGCACCTCTTGCTCTGGCCTGTTGTGAATGTATTTGTGTTGCAGCTCAGTAAAGTCCCAGTAATGTGGTGATTGTGTGATTTTGGTGTCAGTTCCTCTCCCCTCTTCCCCTTGCCCAGTGGCCGCATCACTGACTTGCACCTAACTGAACTCTTGCCCTGCAGCAGATCTCTGCTGCTCTCAGAGGGTGGAGCTGAGGCCCCTGAGCAAAGGGCAAAGGGCTCCATCCAAGCCAGGCCCGTGCTTCCCCCCTGCATTCCTGCAGCATCCCGTGTTTGCAGTTGCCATCACTGCTGGACATACAGCCCGTTCCTGAACAAACCCCTTTGCTGTTCTCTGTCCGGGTCTCCCCTCCCAACTTCCCTCCTCTGATGCTCCAGGTGCCAAGGCCCCTGTTTTTGAGGGACATTCCTGCTCTGCTCCCCCCCCCCCTCCCCGAATTCTTTCTAAATCAAGAGCCAGGAACCCCAAGTGCAGAGAGGGCTGCAGGGAATAAGTGTCAATGGCTGCCTGTGTTTCCCTGTGTTCCCTGCAGTTCTCCTGCCTGTTGTGCCCTGGGCTGGAGAGCCCTGCCTGGCCTGTGTTTCTTGGAGGAGAGTGATGTTATTCCATTTGTCCAAAGGCGTGTTCGTGGGCGCTCGTTTTCTGACAGGCACTGCCATTTTCCTATTGCCTTTCCCAAGTTTTCCCAAGTGCTGCCCAGCATGGGCCTTGGTGTGCTGAGACAGTGATTGCCAGGAGCAAGGTGAGCCTTGGCCTCAGCTGCCCAGCTCAGGGGGGTGGGACAGAATTGGGGTGAGGTCACCCCTGAGCCTCCTCTTTTCAAGACTAAGCAACCCCAGCTCCCTCAACCTCTCCTCATAGGACTTGTGCTCAAGTCCCTTCACCAGCCTCGTTGTTCTTCTCTGGACCTGCTCCAGCACCTCAATGTCTTTCCTGAACTGAGGGGCCCAGAACTGAACACAATACTCAAGGTGTGGCATCACCAGTGCTGAGTACAGGGGAAGGATCACTTCCCACATCCTGCTGGCTGCACTGTTCTTGATGCAGGCCAGGATGCCATTGGCCTTCTTGGCCACTTGGGCACACTGCTGGCTCATGTTCAGCCTCCTGTCGATCAGCACCCGCAGATCCCTTTCCACCTGGCTACTCTCCATCCACTCTGTGCCTAGCCTGTAACGCTGCAGGGGGTTGTTGTGGACAAAGTGCAGGACCCAGCACTTGGCCTTGTTGAACTTCATCCCATTGGAATCAGCCCAAGTCTCCAGACTATCCAGGTCCCTCTGCAGAGCCCTCCTGCCTTCAGGTAGATTGACACTCCCTCCCACCTTGGTGTTGTCTGCAAATTTGCTAATGATGGACTCAATCCCCTCATCTAAATCATCCATAAAGATGTTAAACAGGACTGGACCCAGCACTGATCCCTGGGGGACACCACGAGTGACTGACCACCAGCTGGATGCAGCCCCGTCCACCAACACTCTCTGGGCCCAGCCCTCCAGCTCTTAACCCAGCAGAGAGTGCACCTGTCCAAGCCGTGGGCTGCCACCTTTCCCAGGAGTATATTATGGGAGACAGCGTGAAAGGCTTTGCTGAAGTCCAGATAGACCGCATCTACAGCCTTCCCCTCATCCACCAGGCAGATCAGCTGATCATAAAAGGAGATCAGGTTGGTCAGACAGCATCTTGTGGTGCTCTGTATTAAATCTTGGCTTAATGTTAAACCTGTGGGCGAGGCGAGGGGCGGTGCCTGAGCAGGGCCAGCGGCGGTGCCGGACGGGGCATAACCTGTGAGATAACCTGTGTTGAAATTGCCAGTCTGAGTCCAAAACGGAGTACGAATGAAGGTTCTTCCCAGAGAAAAGGTGCCAAAAGAGAAATCTCTTGGTGCCCATGGAGTGCCCAGCCCGGTCCACCAAATACTCAGGACAGCCAAAGGCTACAGGCTTTCTTTCCTGGGAGAAAGGGCCATTGTTCTCCTGCAAGAGTCCAGCGGTGAAACTGCCAGTCTGACTGCCAAAAGTGAATACAAGCAAGGATTCCTCCGAGACAAAGGTTCCATCACAGAAAGCTCCCGCTGTCCATGGAGTATCCAGGTGGGCCTACAACCTGGACTACTGACCCAATGGGTAAGCACTTTTTTTCCTGGGAGAATTGGCTGTCGTTCGCTTGTAGGAATCCTGTGCCGAAATTGCCAGCCTGAACCCCAGATTGAATATGAACGAAGATTACTCCAAAACAAGAGGTGCAAGGACAGAAAGCTCCTGCTGCCTAGGGAGTGCCCAGGCTGGGCCACCGACTGCAGTGGAGACGCCCAGGGTCAACGCTTTCTTTCCTGGGAGAAAAGGCTATTGTTCGCTTGCCAGGATCACGCGCTGAAATTACAAGTATGGCTGCCAACACTGAGTTTGGATGAAGATTCCTCCAAGACAGAAAGTGACTGGACAGAAAGCTCTTGCTGCCCATAGAATGCCAAGGGCAGCCCACAACTCGGACCCTTGACCCTGGGGATAAGCACTATGTTTCCTGGGAGAAAAGGCTGTTGTTCGCATGCAGGAATCCTGTGCTGAAATTGCCACTCTGACTGCAAAATTGAATACAAACAAAGATTCATCCCAGACAGAAGGGGGCAGGACAGAAACCTCCTGCTGCCCGTGGATTGGCCAGGTTGGCCCACCAAGTGTACCTGAGAGGCCGAGGGTAAGCACTTTCTTTCCTGGGAGAAAGGGCGGTTGTTCCCTTGCAGGAATCCTACACTGAAATTAGCAGTCAGTCTTCAAAATTGAATCCAGACAAAGATTCCTCCAGGAAAGATGTGGCTGGACAGAAATCTCCCACTGCCAATGGAGTGTGGAGGCCGGCCGACAACCTGGACCTTTGACCCCGAGTGTAAGCACTTCTTTCCCAGGAGAAAGGGCTGTTGTTCACTCGGAGATAACCTGTGTTGAAATTGCCAGTCCGAGTCCAAAATGGAATACGAATGAAGGTTCTTCCCAGAGAAAAGGTGCCAATAGAGAAATCTCTTGGTGCCCATGGAGTGCCCAGCCCGGTCCACCAAATACTCAGGACAGCCAAAGGCTACAGGCTTTCTTTCCTGCGAGAAAGGGCCGTTGTTCTCCTGCAAGAGTCCAGCGGTGAAACTGCCAGTCTGACTGCCAAAAGTGAATACAAGCAAGGATTCCTCCGAGACAAAGGTTCCATCACAGAAAGCTCCCGCTGTCCATGGAGTATCCAGGTGGGCCTACAACCTGGACTACTGACCCCGTGGGTAAGCACTTCCTTTCCTGGGAGAATTGGCTGTCGTTCGCTTGTAGGAATCCTGTGCCGAAATTGCCAGCCTGACCCCCAGATTGAATATGGACGAAGATTGCTCCAAAACAAGAGGTGCAAGGAAAGAAAGCTCCTGCTGCCCAGGAAGTTCCCAGGCTGGGCCACCGACTGCACTGGAGACCCCCAGGGTCAACGCTTTCTTTCCTGGGAGAAAAGGCTATTGTTTGCTTGCCAGGATCACGCGCTGAAATTACAAGTATGGCTGCCAACACTGAGTTTGGATGAAGATTCCTCCAAGGCAGAAATCCGGTCCGGGTTTTCCCCCATTCCCGACATCGGCCGAAATCCGGTCCGGGTTT